TCAGGTGTTCAATATTTTGAATATTGGATATTTCCAGCATTTAATACCCCAGTCTGGAAAAAATGAGTCTCTAGTACCTCAAATTATAAAGAGATAGGCTTCTAAGACCCCTCTTTCCTACAAAGCACCCTCCCCTCAATCTTTCTTGGCTCCTTTCCTTCTTCCACAGCAAGAACAATCGAAGCTTTGACACCCCTGTGAAAGGGCCGCCCCAGGGCCCACGGCTACACATTGACATCCCTAGGGTCCAGCTGCTCATTGAGGACAAGGAGGGCATCAAACAGCTAGGTAAGTGACAGGTGCCACAGCTTTCTGTCCTACTGTAGGTGTGCTTTCCAGGCCATCCACCATGGGGACAGCCAGTAGCCTTCATGACAACACCCAGAGGTGCAGCAGCGGCCCCTTCAACAACTCGGCAGCCCTGGAGCTCATGGCCGATCCTCTCGAGGCTTTGTTTCCTCGTATTTTGGGGACCCAGCCTTGGAAAAGACAGAGAAAATTTTGGGAAGGGTTCCTCATGATTGTCCTTCCTCCTCTAGGAGACGATAAGGCCACCATCCCCGTGACGGATGCTGAGTTTAGCCAGGCTGTCAACCCACAGAGCTTCTGTACGGGGGTCTCGCTGCACCACCCAGCCCTCATCCAGAGCACAGGACCCCTCATCGACATGTCGGACATCCGGCCAGGAACCAGTATGCAGTACCCCCGGGGGGAGCCTTCTTCTCATACAGGGGCTCTTGGGCAAAGCAAGGGGCAATGGTGATTAAAAAAAAAAAAGGCAGAAGAGAATGAAATGGAAGAACGGAAAGGGTGCTGGAATTGGAGTCTGGAGACCTTGATTGCAGACTTGCTAGCAGTGATCTTGGGCATGTCACATCACTAACCTCCTCTCTCGGGGCCTCAGATTCCTTACCTAGAAACTTGGAGCAAGGGTCAGATAGTCTTGCTCTTCAAGGGTCTTCTGACTCAAACACTGTGACTCTGGACACAAGGGTGGAATGTGTCAAGGACTGTCAGGAAGGAATGGACAGGCAGGAGGCGGCAGGAGACAGCACCACGTTCTTTCCGAGGTGGAAGGAAAAAACAGGGTGGGGGAAGGATGTTGCCCGCTGCCCCGATGCCTTGACTCTTTTGCTCTTCTCTTCTGGAGCCAGATAGGGTCAGGAAAGGTGGTCTGGTCAGTGTTCCCAGGGAGTTCCTGTAATGGCTTTTGCCTCTGCCCTTGCTCCTCACTGCCCTTTGTACTGAGTGCCAGCTGCCCATGCCCAGGCGCCCTCAGCTGGACACTGCTTATCTCTTGCTTCCCTCTGTGCAGATCCAGTGTCCAGGAAGAATGTGAAGTCAGCCCACAGCACCCGGAACCGGTACTCCAGCCAGTGGACCTTGACCAAGTGCCAGGCCTCCACACCTGCCCGCACCCTCACCTCTGACTGGCGCACTGTGGGTTCCCAGCATGGTGTCACTGTCACAGAGAGTGACAGCTACAGCGCCAGTCTGTCCCAGGACACAGGTGTGCCTCTGGCCCTTCCTGCACCCTGTCCATGGACCTCCAGTTCTCCCTCATTCGTCTGCACCTTCTGTTCTTCCCAACTCCATTCCACCAGCTTGCGGGTCCGCAGCACAAGTCGCTTTCACTCCCAGCTGTCCACTCACTCCCTGTGTGGCTGGGAAAAAGACACATTTGGTCAAGGATTTTATGTTGCTCTCTCCAAATATTGTTAGAGAAAATGGTGCACTGGATATTTGCTGGAGAAGAGGCTGAGTGTTCTAGTTGCTGATTTTCAAGAATGAGGGGCCCCGGGCTGGGGCTGAGTGGTAGAGCGCTCGCCTAGCACGCGGTAGGCATGGGTTCAATCCTCAGCATCACATAAAAATAAAATAAAGGCATTGTGTCCACCTACAGCCTTTATTAGCCAATGATTACACTTGTGCCACCTCTGCCACCCTCACGGAGAGGAGCAGAATCTCCTAGCTTGGCCCTCAGTCTCCATGGCCTGGCTTTCAGATGCCTGTCGTGGTTAAGGATAAGGAAGTTGCCCTTTCTGGTTTCATTCACCCCTTCTCTCCCTAACCAGCTCCTCTCCTCTTCACCGCACACTTCCCTTGTCCCCAGACAAAGGACGGAACAGCATGGTGTCCACCGAGAGTGCCTCCTCCACCTACGAGGAACTGGCCCGGGCCTACGAGCACGCCAAGCTGGAGGAGCAGCTGCAGCACGCCAAGTTCGAGATCACCGAGTGCTTCATCTCCGACAGCTCCTCTGACCAGATGACCACAGGCACTAACGAGAACGCAGACAGCATGACGTCCATGAGCACACCCTCAGAGCCTGGCATCTGCCGCTTTACCGCCTCCCCACCCAAGCCCCAGGATGCTGACCGGGGCAAAAATGTGGCTGTGCCCATCCCTCACCGGGCCAACAAGAGTGAGTGCTCAGATCACCTCCCCTGCTGTGTGCACCATGAACCCTGGTTAGCGCTTGTCCCACTGTCACCTGGATCCTGCTAGCCCAAAATGATTCCTTAGCATTGCAGGGTTGTGGAGAGAGCAAGACCCTGGGAGCAGGCAGCTGAGAGCCCACATCCTGGCACAATCTCTTAAGATCTCTGTGACCTTGGGCAAGTCATTTAACCTCTCTGGCCCTAATTTTCTCATTTATTAAAAAAAATGCAAATGGTAGTATGTACTTTGCCTTGTCATAATGGCCATTAGAAATTATGTACATGACTCATATATAGAGGGTCTCATTAAGCATTGATCATTCCCTGAATCAAAGCTTCACTGATATGGAAAGAGACTCTTTATGGGGTCAGCTGCCCAGTGGCGTCCAGTCTCAGTGTTTGAAGTTAATCCAGATCCAAAGGACTGAGCCTGGCAGTGTAGCACAAGTGGTCAGACCACATGGTGTGTGGGGTATAGACTCCCAGTGGTGGTCCAGCAGCAGACACGGACGTCACCATGTGCAATGTAGAGTCTGCCTGACCCTGGCTGTGCCGAGGTTCATCTAGAAAAGAGCCTAGAGTCAGGAAAAGTGCAAGGACTTAGGAGACTTGTGGCCCTGAAAGATTCCCCACCCCTTCTGGGCTGGGCAAATGTCGGTAGAGTATTTAGTCCCTTAGTATTGCAATTTCCTCACTTGCAAAATTCAGGCCGCCATTAACCAATCCAGACAACATAAGGAAAGGGCCAGGCACAGCCAGCAATTGATAGCGCACATTCACAGGCAGGTGCTCACAGGGCACAGTGACCCATGCAAAGGTCCTGGGAGCACGTTGTTTTAGAAATTAGGAACATTCCACCAAGAGAAGAAGGAACCAGGAGAGGGGTGGGGACACGTCACTGACTTCAAACATCTGGAAGCCTGCCTTGGGAAAGAGGGGAGGTCTTACTCCCTTAGAGGACAGAGTCAGGCTCACGGGGGAAATGACAAGGAGTGACATCCCTTTCCTCCACGAGTCCTCCTCACTGGGAGCTGAGCAGCCTACAGTGATGACCGGGCAGTGCACATTAATTTATTGAGCCATTACTCTATGTGCCAGCCTCTGTTTTGAAGCAGTTCATGTACTGAATCTCCTTCACTCTTCAGAGTAACCCTGTAGGGAATGATGGTCATCCCCATTTCACAGATAAGGAAACTGAGCCTTGCAGAGGTTACACACCTGGTGGGGTGGGACAGGGCTTGAATGAGCATGTCCCCCAAGAACCCCATCTCTCACATCCTCTGTCTCTGATTCCAGGTGACTACTGCAACCTGCCCTTGTATGCCAAGTCGGAGGCCTTCTTCCGAAAGGCTGACGGGCGTGAGCCCTGCCCTGTGGTCCCACCCCGAGAGGCCTCCATCAGGAACCTGGCTCGAACCTATCACACGCAGGCTCGCCACCTGACCCTGGACCCTGCCAGCAAGCCCTTGGGCCTCCCACACCCAGGGGCCCCTGCTGCTGCCACCACAGCCACCTTACCTCAGAGGACTCTGGCCATGCCAGCCCCCCCAGCTGGCACGGCCCCCCCAGCGCCCGGAACCACCCCTGCCGAGCCCCCAACTGCCTCCAGCGCTGCCCCGCCGGCCCCCAGCACCGAGCCTCCGCGGGCCGGGGGCCCACACACCAAAATGGGGGGCTCCAGGGACTCACTCCTCGAGATGAGCACCTCAGGGGTAGGGCGGTCACAGAAGCAGGGGGCCGGGGCCTACTCCAAGTCCTACACCCTGGTGTAGGGGCGCCGCCAGCAGAGCACCCCATGCTCCAACCTCTGCGTCTCCAGCCCTCACTCACCAACTTGGCTGTTTCCTGCATTATTTATATTAAACCGACAGACAAAAAACAACCGACAACAAAAAGAAGCCCCCCCAAGTCATGAACGCTTGTACATAGAACTCTTTTTGTACAAATGAAACTATTTTCTTCTTCTTCATGAAGCCAGGGCACAAAGAATTTGACCGTACAAGTCAAATCCCCCACCCCACAAAATACGTGTGGAGAGATATATACATATATAGAGACATAGGAACACACCAACAAGCTATATATCTATATATTTCTCTCACCTTCTTTTGAGACAGAGGCACAAAGACAGCAATTTTTTTCCCTTCTACTCACCCCTGCCCCAATCTAGGTGGTTTTGACAAAGACCAAAATCCCAACTCAGAGACACTGCATGCGATTTTACTGTTCCAAGAAAACCAGGAGTTGCTTCAATTTGCAGATGCTTATGTGTTAATACCTTTTTCTATGAAAAAAGACCCAGCGCCGTGTGCAATAAAGGTTATGTTTCTATGTGGTGGCTTTTTTCCCATCTGGCAAGGGCCAGAGGGGAGGATGGGAAGACCCCTGTAACAGGCAGGTCTAAGATTTTGCTGCTCACCAAGTGAAGCTTTTTAAAAGGCTTCAATCATTGTTCTCAGACTTGTGCTGGGCCCTAAGAAGACCCAGCCTGGAGCAAGTACCTAACCCCTGAACCACAATCCTTATGTGTAAATTGAGGGAAACTTGTAGCCCATGGAATAAGGCAGCCTTGGTGAGAGCTCTGGGGAGTCTGGGGTGGGGGAGCATGCAGAGACACCAGGGGACATAACTAGGTGAACCACCAGCAAGCAGTTATGTGTGAGCTACCTATAAGACGGGAGTAGAGAGGAAGAGGCCATGCGTACCTTGGGGACCAGGCATGACCTGAAGTTCTGGGCTGTCTCTTAGGGCAAAGTGAGGCCAAAGAGAGAAGGAGAGATATCTTTGGAGGTCAGAGGGATAGAACAGGCTCCAGGGGAGTAGGAATGAAGTTCAGCTAAAGGCCAGAAGGCACACTAGGCACCTCCCCTGGCCTGGAGTCGGTGACTAGATGGTCAAGTAAAAGGAAAGTTATCCTCAGGGAGGAGCAGGGACCTGTGGTGTGTAGCTGGGCTGTTCCCAGACAGAGGGTCCAGAAGACATCACAGGAAAGTGGCCTGTGAGCTGTGCCTCTGTGGACACACAGGTTTGCAGAGGCAGCGAGAGGGAAAGGCCTTGAGCAGGAAACTAGGAAAAGCTCAGGGACATGCGTTCTGTGGTCTAGTGGAACTCCCCTCCACTGTATCCAGCCCCTGGGTGAAAAGCAAGTGCACCTAAGAAGTACAAAGGGGCTCCTGAGCTGAGCAAAGTTGAGATTGAATTTGGGGTCAG